AAAAGAATTATCAACTTGGAATGTTTACATGCCTCCGTCAACAAGGATCGACTCTGGGCCCGAGATGTTGTCCTTTAAAATATATTCCACTTTCGTCAATATATCGTTCACTGCCAATGCGCCTTCCAATTTTGGTGGCTGCCTTAATCTGCAACGAAAAATTACATTACTTACTAATAATAAGGCGAACTTTTTGCACCCGGAGCCGAACTTATTTCTGCAGAACAACATTCTAAGCATCATTCGCTCCATCGCTCTCTCCGCTACAGACAGTTTTTGCTGCTCAGGATTCCTTAGTGCTTCTACAGTACTGTCATCCCAAAAATCACTGTTCATTTCATCAGCGGACAAGTTTCGCCTCAGTACGGCACTGATTTCAACGGAGTAAAGAAAGTGGAGTACGGCCCTCGACCAGGGAACCGAAGAAGTCCGCGAACCCGCACTGCTCGGTGTGTGGCCCGTAGGTGCAGTCATGCCCGTTTCTTTCTCTTTAGGAGGCAGCGCACCAGTGCGGAAAAAGCGAAGAGAGAGTTTGCAACATACTGAACCAAGCAAACCCAGCTGCGACATGCGTAATTTCATCAAATTTCTGGTTGTGTTCAGTAGCAACACTATAAATACTAACTGGAACGGTTCGCAAACGAAGAGAGTGGAGCGTGGCAGAACGAAGACAATAACAGCAACAGCTCCAGCCAGGCAAGACAAAGCGAAGAGCTTCCTGAAAACGAGCAACAAGCGAACACTGTTGTAACACTGATAAGCAAGCAAATGAGCACCTGTCCATTCTGCCAATTCGGATAAATAAAAAAGGAAGAGTGACCGGCAGCGGTGCAAAAAGTTACGGTAAATAACTCAAATGCATCAAAAAAAAAGGGCGTAGAAAACTCGGTCTGGAAGCACTGCTAAGTTTGGGAATGCTTTTCCTCTGCTCCGTTCGTAGCAACAGTCTGAACGTACACTTTATAAACTCAGCCATGGAATGCGACTAAAGCAAGTTGTGGTGGCCTGGGAAGCGACTTCTCTCTTCGACCCATCAACTCGTACACATTCCTATTCAGCGCCATAACTGGCTCTATGCCCTTTACCTCTTCACCATCGCCCCCTACCTCTCGCTTTGTGGCAAACCAGTGATGGGTCTACACTGCTAACTATTAACTATTGGGCATCACTATCAACAACATCTGAACAATGTCTGATCCCTTGAAACACCATGAAGCGCTGGTCAAATGCAGCACCTTTTGCCAGAGGCACCAGTGAATTGGCCCCCCGCCCCAAGAATCCCTGTACTTGTGCCGGCCTTCCACAGCACCGCACGCAAAGCGGAACAGCTTGTGAAGCAGCGATGCTCAGAAGCGGAA